TATATATATATATATATATATATATATATATATATATATATATATATATATATATATATATATATATATACATATATATATATAGATAAAATTCTCATCTTATTGATATACAACTATGTTATGTTTTTTTTAAGTTGTGCAACCCGTGTTGTAAGAAGAGGTTATTGTGTGTAACTGAAGCTGAACTCTTTACAAACTGCAAACACCATTTTGTATGTTGCAGATTTCCTTTTCTCGTATATTATTATCTTGTAGGATTACTCAGGGTGAGATTACCTTTACATGTCATGTGATATGACGTCTGCATGATGCACAGAACCAAATGTAACTCACTTTTAAGATATGATTTTATTTATTTGCTTTTGATAACTCAAATGAGATCTTGCGGAGAGAGCAATGACCACCACTGGCTTTATCTGATAAAGATGGTTTTTTATACATATAAATGGTAATGTTTTTTTTTTTAATTACATTGCACATATTTATTTTCAACCCATAAACAAATATACATTTTATCCAATATACAATAATATTTATGATTAAAAAAACCATTTCAATCAACTGTGTTTTGTCATACTTGACCGTGTTAAAGCTCATTTGTGTGTGCTCAGCTTCCTTTAGGTGGTTTAATCCTTAACACTTTTGGAAGCCTGTCCTATGTTTCCCGTAAAAAAAAAAATTGTTCAGCCTGACAAGTAGAGACAACGGCTCACCTGGAATGTATTGATAAAAGCCCATGCCTCTCCTCCCCTCACCCCCCCCCCCGCGCTTTTACACCCGTAGAATGGGGCGCCATTTGTATCTCACTACAGGTTTTCACTGCCCCTCCTCAAGTCTCATATTTGTCCCGTCGCGTTGAATGTAAGAGTGAAGAAGTTCAGCACCCCGGTATTTAATACATTTATCTTCTTACACGCAAGTGTCGAGCACCGCTGTGGGCTACCCTACCGAGCACTTGACCTTGACCTCGTTATAGGATACAGGAATCCCCCCCCCCCCCCCCCCCCCCCCCCAAAAAAAAAAACAAAAAAAAAACAAAAAAAAAAAAAAAAAAAAAAGAATATTTCGAAAGGAATGTAAGACGACTGTTTCTTTAAAACGGCTGTGGGTCGCGACCCCTTTGGGGGTCGCACGACCCTTTCCAAGGGGTCGCCTTAGACCATCTGAAAACACATATGCTCTACAGTGATGAGGTAGCAAAGAAAACATGTGTGTGGCCGGGGGGTCGCCATAACACGAGGAACTGTATTAAATGGTCACCGCATCAGGAAGGTTGAGAACCACTGCTTTAAAAAAGATTTCATGTGACCATCAGTAGCATAAATCAAACGACTTGAAATTGATGAAAACACCGACAAGAATCTCTTGGCTGTGTGTCGTGTGTCGTGTGTGTGTATGTGGGTACGTTTGTGTTGGTGGGGACGGGGGAAGTGTGTTCGTAACTCAAAACGTGTTCACCGTACTTACCATTATCTCAATTTCGTTCACTGAAACAATGAACACGTTTCTAAGCTATAATATATATATATATATATATATATATATATATATATATATATATATATATATATATATATCTATATATATATATAT